GCATAGATTGCTTTTACAATATTGAGGTATGTTCCTGTTATCCCTAGTTTTTCTAGAGTTTTGAACATAAAGGGATGCTGTACTTTGTCGAATGCTTTTTCCGCATCTATCAAGATGCTCATATGGTTCTTATTTTTAAGTCTATTGATGTGGTGAATAACATTTATTGATTTCCGTATATTGAACCAGCCTTGCATCCCAGGGATGAATCCTACTTGATCATGGTGCACAATTTTTTTGATATGTTTTTGTATCCGATTTGCCAGAATTTTATTGAGGATTTTTGCATCTAGGTTCATTAGAGATATTGGTCTGTAGTTTTCTTTCTTTGAAGTGTCTTTGTCTGGTTTAGGTATCAGGGTGATGTTGGCCTCGTAGAATGAATTTGGAAGTTCTCCCTCTTTTTCTATTTCCTGAAGTAGCTTGAAAAGTATTGGTATTAGTTCTTCTTTAAAGGTTTTGTAAAACTCTGCTGTATACCCATCCGGTCCTGGGCTTTTCTTAGTTGGTAGTCTTTTGATGGTTTCTTCTATTTCCTCAATTGATATTGGTCTGTTTAGGTTGTCTATATCCTCCTGACTCAATCTGGGCAGATCATATGACTTAAGAAATTTATCTATGCCTTCACTATCTTCTAATTTATTGGAGTATAAGGATTCAAAATAGTTTTTGATTATCTTATGTATTTCTGAAGTGTCTGTTGTGATATTGCGTTTTTCATCCCGTATGCTAGTAATTTGAGTTCTCTCTCTTCTTCTCTTCACTAGCATGGCTAAGGGTCTGTCGATTTTGTTTATTTTTTCAAAGAACCAACTTTTAGTTTTGTCAATTTTTTCAATTGTTTCTTTTGTTTCGATTTCATTAATTTCAGCTCTGATTTTAATTATTTCTTGCCTTCTACTTCTTTTGCTGTTGTTTTGCTCTTCTTTTTCAAGGATTTTGAGATGAAGTGTGAGATCATTTATTTGTTGGTTTTTTCTTTTTTTCAGGAATGAACTCCAAGTAATGAATTTTCCTCTTAGAACTGCTTTCAATGTGTCCCATCGATTCCGATATGTTGTGTCTGTGTTTTCATTTATCTCTAAGAATTTTTTAATTTCCTCCTTGATGTCTTCTATAACCCATTGATCATTCAGTAACCTATTGTTCATTCTCCAAGTGATGTATGCTTTTTCCTTCCTTCTTTTATCGTTGATTTTCAGTTTCATTCCATTATGATCAGATAAGATGCATGGTATTATCTCTACTCCTTTATATTGTCTAAGAGTTGCCCTGTGACATAATATATGATCTATTTTTGAGAAGGATCCATGTGCTGCTGAGAAAAAAGTGTAACTGCTTGATGTTGGGTGGTATATTCTATATATGTCAATTAAGTCTAGGTTATTAATTGTGTTATTGAGTTCTATAGTTTCCTTATTCAACTTTTGTTTGGAAGATCTGTCCAGTGGTGAGAGAGGTGTGTTGAAGTCTCCCATGATTATTGTATGGTGGTCTATTTGACTCTTGAACTTGAGAAGAGTTTGTTTGACGAACATAGCTGCACCATTGTTTGGGGCATAAATATTTATGATTGTTATGTCTTGTTGGTGTATGGTTCCCTTAAGCAGTATTTAGTGTCCCTCTTTATCCCTTTTGATTAACTTTGGCTTGAAATCTATTTTATTTGATATGAGTATGGACACTCCTGCTTGTTTCCGAAGTCCATATGAGTGATATGATTTTTCCGAACCTTTCACCTTCAGCCTATGTATGTCTTTTCCTATCAAATGCGTCTCCTGTAGGCAGCATATTGTTGGGTCTTGTTTTGTGATCCATTCTACTAGCCTGTGTCTCTTAATTGGTGAGTTTAAGCCATTAACATTTAGGGTTATTATTGAGATATGGGTTGTTCTTCCAGCCATATTTGTTTATTTCTGTTACTAAACATGGTTTGTTTTCCACTTTGATTATTTCCCCCCCCCTTTACTGTCCTACCTCCCACTGTTGGTTTTCATTGTTATTTTCCATTTCATCTTCCTGTAATGTTTTGGCAAGGATGTTTTGAGGAGATGGTTTTCTAGCTGCGAATTCTTTAAACTTTCGTTTATCGTGGAAGGTTTTAATTTCATCTTCCATCCTGAAGCTTAATTTCACTGGATACACAATTCTTGGTTGGAACCCATTTTCTTTCAGTGTTTGAAATATGTTATTCCAGGATCTTCTAGCTTTCAGAGTCTGTGTTGAAAGATCAGCTGTTATCCTGATTGGTTTACCCCTAAATGTAATCTGCTTCCTTTCTCTTGTAGCTTTTAAAAAATATGGAATGCTTCACGAATTTGCGTGTCATCCTTGCGCAGGGGCCATGCTAATCTTCTCTGTATCGTTCCAATTTTAGTATATGTGTTGCCGAAGCGAGCCCTAAAAAAATATTTTAAATTAAAAAAATAAAAGTATATGTTTCTGGGGGAAAAAAAGATAATATGTATCTATGTATCTGGATACCTTGGTCCAGACTTGCTTTCCTGTTCTCTTGTCTAGAATTTTGGGAACTTGGATAAGCATTTCAGAGACATAGTGTTCTATTGTTCTCCTTCTCTCCAAGGTTGTTGTCTTCATTATATTTATACTTTCTGCTTTTTCATTATTTTTAGTTATGTGTGAAATTAAGAGAATACAAAGTGGCTCTAGGCAAAATTATTCTACTATTATATGTGTACTTTTCACATTTACTTGCCTTATTCTGCTCCATCTCTAGCATATAGAGTGTTAGTGAACTAGATATTTCCATCCACACTTTCTTATTTCTTGGTAAAAGGAGTGGGGGATGGAGGAAGTGGGGAGGGAAGGAGGGAGTGTGGAGGAGAATGTGTCTCTCCCCAGAAAATATATTAGAAATATTATATTAGAGCGGAAATTTTTGTTAAGACGGTCTATGTAACAAAGAATTCTATCCTGCTCCAAAGACTACAAAGATATTTTCTGAATGAAGAAAATCAGAATACAATAATAAAGAGAAGAAGAGAAAAATGAAGCAGGCCAGATGAGTTTGGACTGAGTATGACTAATATGATACCATGTGAGAGAGACACTGTTTGGTGAATAGTCTTCTCCTTTTAAGCCATCAAAATGCCCTGAAATATTGAGAGCTGAAAAATAACATATGAATTATAGTTGGGAGGCAAAAGTAATTTTCTTCTCCCATTGGAGACAATTTTTGGCATAGCTTACTCTCTAAAATAGACAGCATCAAACATAGTTTAAATATATTTTTAAATATATATTTAAAAACATATTTAAAACTTTCTATTTTTCCATTACTCTTGCAGCTGTGATGAATGCTCAGAAAAAAAAGGAAGACCAGTCTCTGAATATCTGAGGGAGTGATGATGTGAAAAGTAAGAATGTAAACCTGTATTGTGTGTGGCTACATGAAAACAGTTGATGTCAGTTAGATCAAAGGCATAAATGTTGAGAGATCTATTTTACACCAATATAATGACAGTTAATGATGATATATTGTATTATTGAAAATTATAAAATATTTTTGTTCACACCATAGAAAATGATAACTACATGAGGTGGCACATTAGTTAAGAAGCCAGATATAACCCATCCAAAATGTACACTTAAAAACATAACACTGGGGCTGGGGCTGTAGCTCAGTGATAGAGTGCTTGCCTTCTACGTGTAAGGCACTGGGTTCGATCCTCAGCACCACATAAAAATAAAGAAATATATTTAAAAAATAACACTGTACACTCTAAAAACATGCAATGCTATCTTTCTATTTTAATTTGATTAATTAATTTAAGCTTTTGAGGTTTGTACTAGAAAAAAACAATGCACATAAGTCAGCTTTGGTTCATTTGTCACTTTAAGTAGCAAAATAAAAGCAGAAGGAATTGCCTCATGGGAATAGGACAGGCAGATGAAGAAGTGAGTACCCAAAACTGTTTATTTCCCTTAAGAGTTTGTTAGCACTATGCTTGAAAATAATAATTAGAAACATTACTTTGTGATCACATGGACAAAAATCCTCTGAACATTCTAATCTTCACAAAATACGGTGTAAAAACTCTCTTGGTCCAAGTTAAACATTTTAAAGATACGGTATTCTACCCTGTATCTTTTCTAATGTAACTCAGGTGAATTCTTTCCTAAGTCAATATTCATACAAGAATGTGTAGTGTTCAGTGTGTAGAACTATTATATTTATAATGTGAAAAATCAAATTTAGGAGGTCCTTTCTTAAATGTGCCTCTTTATATGTTAGGAATAATTTTGGGGTTCTTAATTATTGTTATTTTATTAAAATATAAAGACATAAAGCAAGTAGAGATATCAAAACAAATTTCTTAACGTGCACATGCAACACTTATGAAAGAACATGAGCTTTTGACAATTGTAATGTCAAGAAAAGTGCATCCACATCACAGGCAATAAGCTTTATGTTGTCCCAACCCCTTCTTTGACATACTCAGAAATCCCTCAGTATGTCAATGGGTTGTTCTCTACCTTCCCAAAAAAGGAATGGTTTAGTGTTAGACACATAATTTCAGGAAGAGGAATAGGATCTTTTATTCATGTGTAAATGATTCTGTTACCTGGAAGATAAGCATAAGACAAGAAAGACCTGTGGAGTAAAGAAATAAATTCATGTGACTAGGGCATAAGTTCCCTTTACCCTTACAAAATATGGAAGCAATCCCATGAGAACCAATGTTTGACCAAACACTTGCTTACAATCATTCTGTATAACTCAAGACCATTGACAGGACTTAGAGATAGGTTCTCTTCTCAAATAGTGATACATATGAGGAATTTGTTATACTGTATTTTCAGCTCTAAAATTAAATAGATACATGTGTGTATATATGTGTGTGTATGAATATACATGTATGTTCAGAAGGAAACAACAAAGAACATTAAAAATTATTTTAACTTCCAGAAAGTGAGATGAGCCTAACACTTCTCAGTTTAGTATGCCATAGCCATATTGAAGATTGAAAGGACATGTCTGATATATATTATTTGGTGTGAATTAAATTTTATTTAAATATTTTCAGAGAGTATTTATACAAGTGTATGTATAAAATTACATTCAATGTAAAATATGCATCTAATCAATATATTCATGAAATTCTTTATCTTAATTCTTGTCTCTCAAATGTGGATGTTCAAATTCCATCAATTTTAAAATATATGGTTTCAAATACATAAAAATTGTATGATAAAATACAATTGAAAACATTTTATAGTCCCCAGAAGTAGATTTTTAAAAAATTAGAGGTAAAGATACCATTCTTTGCAAGCCTGGACCTTTACTGTCCATCCTCACCACCCCAAGAAACAGTTAACTAAGTTATTTCTTACAGATAAAGCCATTTGTATTTTCACAGGGTTCATCCAAAATATTTTGCCTTGGATTATATGCTATGCAGGACTTTGGATTTAAAGTTTCTGATGATGGAAATCTATAACAAAAAAAAAAAAGAAAATGTTAGCATGGAAAAAAAGAAATATGAATGTTCAGGGATATTATTTTATTAAATGGTAGAACTTTTAAAAGCTTTAAGTGATATATTAGCAAACTATTATTTTTTTTCAATATCCGTAATTATGATTTTAGCATACAATACTTTACAAAATTCAGTTATTCTCGTATACTCAGTAGATTGAGGCCACGGTTTTTTAATTTTTTATTTTGTTTTGTTCTGTTTTGTTTACTTTGCTCATAAATGGTTTACATGTATGATGTTTTACTTCTACTTGGTTTAAGAAATATTAGTTGACCTAATTTGGGAAAACAAACCAGTTCATTTTACTTCTCAAAAGAATGAAAAACATGATAAATGAACTTTGTCATTGTATGACTCTACAAATCCTATATTCATGAATGAACATTACATTTAAAGATAACATAGAAAATAAGCCCAGAATATTTGAAAAACAGGAGAATGCTAATAATATTGGGTCTTTATCAGAACAAATAATAAATATTGTTTCTCTAGATGGCTCAGTGCATACATGTATACTTCCAAGTGCTTGTACTAAGGTTAAAAAAAAAAAAGGAGTATCTGTCAATAAGAGTACACTAACTTTCATGCCATTGAACCTAAACTTGAGGAGTGTTCTCGGTGGATCTATGGTTATGTCTTTTTTGTTTTACGTGTATTCATGCCCTGCACAGGTAATATTAGCTACAATCACCCTGCCTGGATGTGACCTTCCCTAGTCAGAACTAACTAAGGATAAATTCACAAGAAGCAAAAAAAAGGCCTTAATGGCCAGAAACTTACAGATCCTGATTGGGAGATGAGCCATCCTTCCATAACCAGGCACCATGTTCTTCACTATATGAGAGTCCAATCCAAAAAAAGGATTGAGAGGAGTTCATGAAACCCTGCTTCAAGACAAAGACAAGCGTATTAATCAAATGTGAATCTACTCTAGGATTATTCCATACTTCTTTCTTGGTACCAGGGATTGAACCCAGGGGCGCTTAACCAATGAGCCACATCCCAACCCCTTTTAATATTTTATTTTGAGACAGAGTCTTGCTAGGTTGCTTAGGGCCTTGCTAAATTGCTGAGGCTGGCTTCAATTTGTGATCCTCCTGCCTCAGCCTCCTGAGCCACTGGGATTACAGGCATGTACCACCAGTCTGGTTATAATAATACTTTAAAGAAAGTTAGAGCTCAGAATAAGATTCAGCCTGTCCATTACATAATCTGAAATTATTTTTAGCTTCTAATTTATAGTCACATGCCTCAAATTTCTAATTTATTAGACCCATTTATTTGTGAAGCCAATGAGATTGAATCCAAATTTTACTTCCCGAAAGAATGAGAAAAATCATAAATGAACTTAAGAGTTTTCATATAACCCTTCCTTCAGAGAGGAGCAATGATCAAATTTGATTCCAAATTTACAGTATCTTGAAGGATAAATCTCATGAATACAACCTTCTTACCCTATGCTCAGCACAGATCTTACCTGTACCTTAAGAATTTTGTCATTTTTTGGTAAGAATTTGATAATTTTTATGATCACATACTATACTACTGCTTCTATATTATATTACAGAAAGATTGACAAAAGCTATATAATTACAAAGGAAATTATACACTAGATTAGAATAACTCAAATTTCTAAAGTCACTTTTTTGGTTTTTTGATTAACATGTAAAAATAATGACTTATTGCTTATTCTTTGAATTCTTGCTGACAAGTTTGTGGTATTTATCCAGATTTTTATGGTTATGATGTAAATCTTTGAAGAATTTTATATAGGTTTTAATGATTGCTTCCAGGTTGAAATTGTTAGGTTTCTGATTCAAATATAACCATTCAAAAAATATATATAACCATTTATTTTCTATCTGATTAGAAATACAAATCAAAGTATTCAGCTTATATAACATATTTTATGGGTTCAAATAAAATGTAGGAAACAAGAATAAAGTACATGCCAATTCATCTCTGCTTTGGAGCTGAAGTAGACTGGAATTCTGAGCAGCACAAAAATGGAAACTTTCATACCAAGTTTTTCTTTCATTAGAAATGAAATAACAGTGGCACTGATGCCCAATCCACTTTTCTGGGCAAGAGCAGCAGTCAGACACTAAGAAAAAAAAATGAGATGACTCAGGAGATTTAAATTTTTTCAATGCTACTTATTCATTTAAAAATTGTGTGCCATTTATTATTGTTTTTCTACAAATATTCTTTGGGAATCTTCTATATAAACTATGGTTCAGAGAATATTAACACAAACTAATGAAACATTTTTTTTTCTATTTAAATATATAATGGTGCACTGCTAGGTTTGACCTGGAATGTCCCCAAAGACCCAGGGGTGAGAAACTTGGTTCCCTGCTTAGTGTCATCAGGAGGTGATACAGGGCCTAGTGGGAAGTTTTAGGTCACTGGGGGCATACCATTGAAGGAGATAGTGGGCCCTGGCCTCTTCCCACTGTCTTGCCATAATGTGAATAGTTCCATTCCACCATGTGACTCCACCATGATGTGGTAACTTGCTATAGGCCAAAAACAGCAGGGTCAACCAATTAGGTACTAACACCTCCAAAACTAGAAGCCAAAATATGTTTTTACTTTGTAGAAGTTGATTATCTTAGATATTTGTCACAGTTCTAGAAAGCCAACTGACACATACACATTCAATGTAATTTAATCATTTTTACATTAGAGAACTATGAAATGTGACTATCCTACAATCAACAGGCAAACTTGTGTCACTAACTGCAATATTTTTTCATGCATCTGTGTGTGAAAACAAGATACTATCTTTTTAATTCTTTATCAGTCATAGAATTTGCAAAGAATGGAACCTACCTTCTTGGAGTTCTATCATAGATCCTGGAGAGAATGTTGGTTGGATAGTTTGTTTAGTATATGCTGTTAAAAAAAACATTAAGGATTTACTTAATCAGGTTTTTGGAATAATAATAGGTTTATGGAATAATCAAATATTACAAAGTAGTAAAATGAAATATTTACTATTAAATGATGTAATTGCAATTTTGATCTTTATATAGACTTTCTAGAAAAACTTACAAATTTTCAGCAAAATTCCCAAAGTAGCCATCAACAAAAGGCATATTACTCCCAAGGCCCCAGAAATCAATCTCCACAGAGTGATCTGAGAAACTGTAGAGAAAAAAATGTATATGATGATGATTTAAAGAACAAACACAGGAGCTGAAGTTCATAAGAGGAGAAGCCAATGAGATTGAATCCAAAGAGTTCTTCATTTGGTAACAGAGATATCTTTCCAATTGAAGATTGGAAAATGAAGACATTTTGTTCAAAATGCCACCAATACCAACATTTTTATATATGTTATTCTTCAGTGAGATAATTCATGCATGTTCTTTTCTATGAGTTCTATCTCAGTAAAGTAGATTTCTCACTTATCTTTTACCTTGGCAAAGAAGTCAAAATATCTGCTGTAAGAAGAGATCAACAGGCAGCAAACTGTTTGATGAGCTTATATAACAGACATTTACTGTTTTTCTTTCAACAAAATCACAAGATATATAATATAATTACCATTAGATGATGAGGAAAAAAAGTATTAAGGCTAGTAAATATCCACCTTACAAATCAAATCAAATTTTGTCTAGGTTCAGAGTCTTTTATTTGACATATTCTGTCATTGTCACAAGAATACTACTAGGGACTGTGCCCCTCCTTAATTTCAATGCAAGATCTGCTCTAATAAACAGGTTTCTGAAGGTACTATAGGTGAGATAACTTGGGAGCATTCTGAAACTGTGTGATGAGAGATGGCACAACCAGTGTGTGGGTTGGAGGCCCAAGTTCAACACAGCACACTGAATTATGACACATAAGTGACTTCTTTCTTTATGCTTTTTAAAAAATCTCATTCAAATTTTTTTCTTTTGCTCTAAAACATTTCAACATTAGTAGATTCTGAATTAAATTAGTACACCCTCAAAGAGTGATATTGTCTATAACAACAGTACAATGTGTCAGTCTGTGTCATTTTTGAATGTCACATGACAAATATTAAATTAAAGACTTTGAAGCATTAAAATCTGACATTCTCTATTTCAGTGCTAGAAATTTGTTGTTTACCATTGAACCACTTATGTTCATGTTTTATTACAAATTTAGAGGTACCCTATCAGAAGCCACTCGAACCGTTGGAAAAGTTTACAAAAGATTTTACTTTATAAAATCACACATGACTTACAAAATGAAGAATCAGGAAAGTAAAATGAATGCAAGGCGACTAATAGACAGAAAGCCTAAACATCCTTTTTAAATTTTAAAGCACTGTTCTGAAATTAGCTAATCTATGAGATGCATTTTTCTGGTTGTTTTTTATGTTTTTCAATTTTATGATGAGGCTGCGCATACCTGCCATTTGAAAAGATGTTCCCGGCTTGATGGAGAGAAGATACAATGTGTCTGCCTTAGCAGGAATGGTGTTAGATCATGAAGCTGAGCAAGAGGCTAAGGCTGGAGAAACTAAATATAAAAGAGAAAGAAAATTTGTGTATTAAAATAATGTTCTTGAATCATCTATTAATGAGAAGCATAGGTATAGATAGTGATATGAATAAGAAGTGGTAAAAATCACAAGCTTCTAAGATGCTCTAGGAACCACAATACAGGAAATCCTCACTATACTTTTGTAATGGAAACACTTGAACCAGAACACAAGAAGGTGAGAAGGAGTTCTTTCCAATGTTTGTGCAGAAAAGTTGTCTTAAAAATTATTTGGAAAGTAGGGAAAAATATGTGCAAACCAGTGATAAATTTATTTAGCATAATAAAGTTCCATGCTGATCTTTCTCTTAATAATAATCTTTATTATTTACCTTGTACTGTGCACAGTTTAAAGCATGTAGCTTTAACCTTGACATCTAAAAATTTTTTAAAATTAACTTCTAAAAAATGGCTAAATAATCAAGATACAAAAAACAGTCGCATTTTAGTAATGGGTAATATGAGACCTAGTAGAGCCGAGTGACTTGATCAAGGTCCCTGAAACTTGAAAGCCAGGCAGTCTTTCTCCAGAGCACACATGCGATATATTTTAAACCAAGCCCATCTCTTTGTATGTATGTATTTTGGAGACATTAATTTCATTTCTTTAGCACAGACTGGATAGTACTTCCATGTCTTATTCTGTTTCTGCCTCATTAACCCAGCCCAAAAGGTGGAACCAGAGTGGCTTCCCACTACTGCTTTATGAACACACAGGTATGTGCACGCATGCACACAAAAGCACATGCCTGTGCTCCAACACTGCCTCAGGTGTTCTAAATCAACATGTCAGTGCCTCATTCACATTAGGCTTAGACATTTCTTTCAACATGACTTGACCATTGTATATGACTATGCTGAGGCTGGTTTTGAACTTGTAATCCTCCTGCCTCAGCTTCTGG